TGCTATGAACATTGGGGTGCAGGTGTCATTTTGAAGTAGGGTTCCTTCTGGATATATGCCCAGGAGCGGGATTCCTGGGTCATATCCTAAGTCTATTCCTAGTCTTTTGAGGAATCTCCATACTGTTTTCCACAGTGGCTGCACCAAACTGCATTCTCACCAGCTGTGTAGGAGGGTTCCCTTATAAAATTCTAATAAGCTTTCAGTAAATCCTCAAGTATGTTTACTGTCTCCCTGTCTTTTCTCTGTTCACTGCCTCTGACAGTTTCACATTCATTCAGTCTCATACTCAAATTCATTCACACTCAAATATTTATTAAATGCATGAAATACATTGCATTATTATATTTATCATTGAAATTTGGCTCATAAAAAGATGCAGGAGCAATTTTATTTGAATTTTTAGTAATTGCTATGGAAAACCTGGATCTCAGACTACTGCCTGTGTACCAGTAACAGGGAGCCACTGTTTTAAATGCTTCAGAAAACACCTTGTCTTCCTTTAGGTTTGATTTCCCTGCTTAATATCCCATAAGACCCTCTAATTCTCTGATCATAATAGAGTTTACTTTAATTTCCCATTTAATATCTTTCTTCCTCATTAGACTTACCATCTTCTGAAAGCTTTTTTTTTTAAAAAAAATAATAACTTCACTCATTTCTTTGTACTTTTTTTTGGCAGCCTTTAATTTTTTTTCCTGGCAGGGAGGAGGTAATTACATTTATTTATTTATTTTTGATGGAGGTACTGGGGATTGAACCCAGGATTTTGTGCATGCTAAGCACGTGCTCCTACCACCGAGCTATACTCTACCCCTCTTCCGAGAGCTTTGTCTTGACCTTACCCCAGTTGGCCTATCCATCCCTAGTGCCTGTTATAGTGCCTAGAACTTAGTAGGTGGCTATGTCTTTGTGAATGAGAATATAGTCAGAGCACATTTTTACTGTCACTTTACGTAAAGGCATATGATTGCCAATATTTGTATTGCTATTCATTTGGAATAGGAAATTACAGTGTTAAAATAATTCTTACAGCTTTATAGAGTCTTCATAAAGACCTTCTGCAAGTATAAATTTTAATAGCTGATTACAGGTATAATAGACAATTTATAAAGGCATTTAAGGATTCGTTGTCATTCATTTAAGCACAATTCATATATCAACAGTCTTTAGTTTAAATATTCAGCTCCTTGAAAATCCTTTGCTTCTAGCTCTAAACTATATTTAAAAATGAGGCTTTATCAATTACTTGTTTAATGTATCCTAATTTTAAAAGTTTAAAATAGCAAGACTTTATAAAATCTTTTAAAATGAATCTTACTAGTAAAGCTACACTTTTTCAATGAAGACAAGTTTTTTTACATGTGCATAATTAATTCAGGTCAGTAATTTTGTTTATGGTTTAACCACTCCAAGGGAATCCTTGGTGGGAAGGTAGCCTCTTTCTTGTGTATGTTTTCAGGCCACATAGTTGCCTTGGTAACATCATAGTGGCATATCCTGATAACAGCTGATTTCCATTTCTGTAGTTAGCCTTTCATTGTTTCTTCTATCCTGTTAAGCAAAAATAAGAGCTTCCTAAAGTTGTCTTCCTAAAACAGGAAAACAAAACCTATCAGATTCCCACACCAAGAGGAATACGCAGGCTGCTTTTAATTAGCCAAACTACCTCATAGACGAGATGTATCAATCTACTTCATTTATTTTATGCACCTTAGACAGTAATATGGGCTATAATTTGATGTGAAATATGTTAATTAAAGGTAAATATTTAATTGCAATGTGGTGACATTTCTACGTGTAGGTGTATACGTGAGTAGTCATGTTAACACAAAACATGTTACAAAAAAAAGCCACACTTTAATTTCACCTTGGGAGGGAAATTCCTATTTCTAGTCCCACTTGTTAACAGAGGGTAGGGATTTTTTTCCTGAAGACCAAAGTGAAGCCCTTTTTTGACACTTAGGCACCAGATGATTGTACTGTCTGTGTGGGAAAGGTGTATTATGGTAGATTACAAAAATGAGCACAGTCCTTCACTCTCCCCATTATCCATGCCCTCTGCAGTATGACTTTGCAGCTCCTCCATCATTAAATGTTTTTTTCCCCTCTTCTAGTCTTGACTGTTTATAAAAACAGTGAAAGTAAGTCCAATAATGTTGGCAAATCTTAAATTTTT